CCTGACAGGGTGATCTCACGCAGGAAGTGCAGGGCTCTTGCCTGTGGACGGCGAGAGAGGTGACAGTGCCCTTGCACTCAGCACGTATTTACCAGCACTAACTAGTCCCTCTCCCCTAGGACCCACCAACAGACCTCAGTGGGCCAAGGAACGCAGCCCAACCATAGGCCCAGAAGAGCAGGGAGCCTGGTGACAGCCCTGGGGGTGGCAGAGACCATTGATGGCAAAGTGGAAATTAATTTTATTTTATTTGTGTGTCCATCATTATTATTAGTTCATTTTAAAAAAAAACATATTTTACAGGCCGGGTGCAGTGGCTCACGCCTCTAATCCTAGCACTTTGGGAGGCTGAGGTGGGTGGGTCACCTGAGGTCAGGAGTTCGAGACCAGCCTGGCCAACATGGGAAAACCACATCTCTACTAAAAATACAAAAATCAGCCGGGCGTGGTGGCGCACCCCTGTAATCCCAGCTACTTGAGAGGCTGAAGAAGGAGAGTCGCTTGAACCCGGGAGGTGGAGGTTGCAGTGAGCCAAGGTCGTGCCACTGCACTCCAGCCTGCACCACGGGAGCCAGACTCCATCTAAGAAACAACAACAACAACAACAACAACAACAACAACAAAACCCATATGTTCCAAATTGGGACTCTTAAACATCCCCGTGATCTTATTACACTCATCCATCAGCATCCATTTATTCTTCTATGTGTTACACCTTAACTCAGTTCTCAAGTAAAGATGTTCATAAAAGTCTTCCTGATTATTTCAGAAAAAACAGAGAGGTGATTTATTGTGAACCCTGGAATAGTTGACAGCAACAGGACTGCTTGTGTTTCCCCTAAGTGGTTCTCAAGGAGGATTGTGTGCTTCCCCCAGGGCGCCCTTCCCAGGCAGGAAAGACGGGTCTCACGGCCAAAGATGGGAGTCCTGGCCCTGGTGGGGGCTCTCCTAGTCCCTGTGCCGATCCCATCAGGAATTGTTGATGACAGAGGAGAAAACAGGGCTGCAGAGCTGGGGTAGCCTGTCCAGGGTGGAATTTAAACTTGCAGGACATCAAAGTCACCACACCTTAAGTTTTGGCCTTTGGGTGACTTGGATGAAACCCTGGACCCTCTCTGTGACTGTGATTTGGTGCAAAATGACTGCTTGTTGCCTTGGGAAGAACTGTGGGCTACACCACACGCAGCTCTCACGATGCACAGGTGAGCAGGGGCGCGCCTGGCACACGGCGCTCCAATCCACGGTTCTTAGGTCCCCCTGACTAGACTTAAACAGAAGTTGGTTACAACCAGCTCACTTGCTGACTCTTAGTGCTCTGGTGGGGCTAATGGAAAATGTATCTGATCATTAGGAACTGCATTTGGCTGCTAGTTATGGAGAGCTGAAAAATGCTGGCTTAAGCAAGGAAGTGGGTTCCTTTTCCATAGGTCACATGAAGCCTGAAAGTTAGCAGCCAGAGCTGGCGAACTGTCCCCCATCACTGTCCCAGGCCCTCCTGGGGCCCTCCGTCCCACAAGGAAAGAGGAGGCAGGGGCAGGGTCAAAGGGGCCTCCACTGACTCAGCCCCCTTTGATGGAGTTCCCTGAAGCCCTACTTGACGACATCCAAGTCACCCCTGGCTGCAGCTCAGTCCCAGGACCACCCCACCTGCAAAGGTGGCTGGGGAAGGATGCACCAACAAAATCAGGGTCTGATACTAAGCAGAAGGGGCTGCAACTAGCAGTTTCTGCCACAGTGATTGTTAAAGTGCTATTATAACTAACTTACCCGCATACCCTGACTCCATTCTCCATTCCCCAGCCACCCACCCTTCGCCCCACTCCCTGTTCCTGCAGAGACTTTGAGGCCTCAGGCCCTGACATGCTGGAAAATGTGGCTCCTTCTAGGGCAGCAGCCTGCTGTTTGCCTCTCAGTGTGTTTCAGGTTTTTCTGAGCGTTGGAGGAGTTTCTGTGTTACTATATCCCCTTTGGGGCTTCCCCAGTGCTTTCCGCCAGAGAAGCCCGCCCATGCTCCAGCCCTGGAGGCCTGTGAGGGAGAAGGGCTCTGGCAGGCTCTTTGCAAAGACCCTGCAGGTCTGAGAAATCAGTGGCCCTGGAAGGTGGTGATGGCTCAGCCAGTGACTAGTCATCAGGCCAATGCTTTCCCAGGTGCAGTGTGGTGGGCGGGAGGAGGCCTGGGTGCCATCTACTGGGGAGTGGGGGGCCTTGACCCTGCACCTGGGCTGCACACCCTCCTCATTCCAGGGCAAAGGTGGACCAGGGTCAGAGCCAATTGACCTTGGCCCCCTGTGCCCAGCCCCTCATACCTGTCCCCGTGCTGTAGCCATCCACCTCACCTGGGGCTCTGTGCCTGCATCCCAAAGATAGCCAAGGAGGTTCTGGTTCAGCCAGGACCATGAAGTTAGAGGGACAGGACCTAGCCCTGCCCCAGGACCTGCCCTCGATGGAGTAAGACACGATGGAGTAAGACACCCACAGAGGAGAGGGGAGAAAGGGGGACTCCTCTCCATTACCTCTAGAGACCAAGGCCAGGAGCCACCTACTGGGCTCAGGGAAGAGGCCCTTCCCAGCCTAATTACCTCCATAATAGGGCATGCACACAATTCGGGGTGCAGAGAGGAAGGTGTGCAATAAAAATAAACGTTCACTCCTCTATGCCAGCCCTCAGTTCTCCCCAGAGGCAACCAGTGTCTACCACGTCCTTGGGTGTCCTTCGGGATATTTTCCCTGTGCATACACGCGGAGCTCTATAAGGTTTTTTACACACATGGTAACTCAATACACACTGTGCTGCAAGCTGCTTTCAAATAAATGCATTTATTATATCTTGGAGAACATTCCAGTCCTGCACAGTTAGTGCTGCCTGCCTCGTTGACAGGCTGCAGAGGATCGCATTGTTGCATGTGCAGGAATTTTATGACCTCCCTCCTGATAGAGGTTCGGGTTGCTTCCTGTTTGGGGCCATATTCTAAGAGATGCTACAATGCACATCCTTGTTCTGTATCTTTGGGCACTTTTACGAATATTTCAGGACCAAATGCTTAAGTGGAACTGCTGGGTCAGAGGGTATGTGCATTTGAAATTTTGGTAGATAAGGCCAAAATGCCCTCCAAGGGGTAGCCTCCAACTACCCCCTCATTAATCCATCCTACATTCAGCAAAGTGATTTGTAAAGATGACTAAATCATCTAATAATCCTGCTTAAAACTGCCAGGAGCTTCAGCAGTGACCCACACTTGCAATTCTGTGTGCCCAGTCCCCTCCTTCAAGGCTCCAGCCACGCCAGGTTTTTGTGTCCCTCCCACACAGTGGCTTGATCCCACAACAGGGCCTTTGCATGTGCAAGGCCCTTGCACCTAGTGTCTTCAGAGCTCCACGGAATGCCTTCTTCCCATTCCTCAGTCTCACACTGTACCTCCTGGTGCAGGCTGCAGGCCTCCGCAGCCTCAGTTAAATATAACAGCCCTAGGCCAAGCCACCAATTGCCCAACTGGGTGGTCCAGCTGCTCTACTATCTCACTTGTTTGTGTGCTCATTGTCAACTCTACCTATGAGGAGTGAGCTTCTAAAAGCAGAGATTCAGCCAGCCCAGGTGGCTCACACCTGTAATCCCAGCTCTTTGGGAGGCTGAGGTAGGTGGATCACCTGAGGTCAGGAGTTCAAGACCAGCCTGGTCAACACGGTGAAACCCCGTCTCTACTAAAAATACAAAAGTTAGCTGGGTGTTGTGGTGCAGTGGTGCATGCCTGCAATCCCAGCTACCTGGGAGGCTGAGGCAGGAGAATTGCTTGAACCTGGGAGGTGGAGGTTGCAGTGAGCCGAGATCGCGCCATTGTACTCCAGCCTGGGCGACAGAGCAAGACTCCGTCTCAAAAAACAAAAAGAAAACAAAACAAAAACACACACACACAAAACACAGAAATTCTTGACTGTGTCTCCGGTGACAGTGCCTGACACTTAGTAGGTGTTCAAGAAGGAGATGCACCCTCTGCCAACATGAGGGTGGTAAGTGACACTTTACTGTCGTCGGGACTGTTTCCTTGCTGTTGGGTGAGGTCAAGCATTGATGTTTAAGGGTCTGTCTGTTTCTTTGTAATTTGATTGCTGCCCATGCCCTTAACCTGTTTACCTTTCAGGTTTTCTGTTTCTTATTGATATCACGAACTCTCTGTAATGAAGATAAGTCAGGTCTTTGTCTCTCATTTGTATTGCAATTTTTTTTCTCAGTTGATAGTCTACTTTTAGGCTTTGGACTAATTTTCCATGTACGTTTCAATTTCATGGAGTCAAGTGCATTAGTCATTTCCTGTATTTTTATTTTTTTTTTTTATGAAGAGTTGGGTCTTGTTCTGTCACCCAGGCTAGAAAGCTGGTGTGATCATAGCTCACTGTAACCTCCAACTCCCGGGCTCAAGGGATCCTCCTGCCTTGGCTCCTGGGTAGCTGGGACTTCAGGCCTATACGATTTCTAACTGTGGTGTGAAGAGATCCCCTCCCCTGGCTCTGTGAGGCCTGGGGCTGGGCTTTTCCAGGAGTAGGAAAGGGTGAGTTTGGTGCCTGATGCCTGCAAAGCAGCCTGGCCTCAGGTGATGCCAAAGCAAAAGCTTGGGACCTGGGGCAGACAGACTCTGGTTTGTATCTGGAGGTTAACTGGGCAGCTGTGGTGCACTGGAATGAAAGGAGAGGGAGAGTGGGACTCCTGAGGCCCTGCTGTGGGATGAGGGTGAGAGAATGGCAGGAAGGTGGACAGGAAGCACAGACCCTCAACCCCCTGGGACTTGGTGCCCAGGCTGGCACACAAAAAAAAGTAGGGGAACTCGCTTTTTCCAACCTGTGACTGACAGAGCAGTGTCTCCACCCTTGGAAGCTGCTCAGGGGCCACCTGCATGTTGGCACAGTGGGCAAGGAGGGGCTGCCCGTTACCCCCAGACAGCCAGTGGGTCTGGGAGGGACTGAGTCTGTGCTGTGGTCATAAGCACTCGAAAGACAGAGGCCACAGCTTCATTCTTGAAAGAATCTGTTTATTTTGAGATTAAAAGAGTCTCATCCCCCTGCATATCCCGCAAATACTAAATTTGATCTTTTTAATTTTAGAAAAGGGTCAACAAACTTCAGCTGGAGTATGATCTCTCTTTCAAACTCCCATTCTGGTTTAAGGAGCCACAAAGGGTAACCCTTGACAAAAATGTGGCTATGTTTGCACATGTGTGTGCATATATGTGTGCATGTGTGTAATACATACATGTGCATAATTTATACAATGTTTGCTGTTGTATCCATAAGCCCCCTATGGACAATTTTCCTTTTTGTACTCTGCTGTACACGTGTGGAGCGAAAGTTTAGCAAATACATAATTTGGTATAAATCCCATACAATGTGATTTCACAACCAGAAGCCTGACCGCTGAGATATTACTGAATTTTTAAAAGTGATAAACAAGATTTTTATGTGCAAACAAACAGGGCTTGTGCTCCAGCTGCGTCCAAATTTACTTGACAAAGCTATAAACACAAGGCCCTTTCTGAAGTCCTGCTGATTGAGTTTCCCCTTCCTTTTGTCGGTGGAGAGGAATGTAAAGGCTAAGCTGGTGCACTCGCACTATGCGCCTCTGGGCTTTCTGGCTGCGACACTTAAAGGAACTCATTCATTCTCCGGATGGGGCAACGCTCCTCACCCAGCGTCCTCCGAGGGCTTTCCCACACGGAGACCTTCCCGAACTCAGAGACATCTGATCTTGGCTTGCCCAAGCTGGCCGAGGCCTCAGGGACTCAGGAGCCTGTGGAATGTGCTGAGAGCCTGAGGTCTCCGGTGGGGAAAGGGCAGGGGTTACAGCCCCCCTCCTGCTCTACCTCAACTGCTTCCCAACCCAGGGCCTCTAGTGTAATTCCATCTGAGACCCGGGGATGGCAGGAAGGCCCGGCCCTACTTTGTTTGACCCAGCTCAGAACGGGATCCTCCACCCCTGCTCCTGGAAACTGATGGAGGAGGCCAGCGGAGGCCCTGCCCGGCCTGATACCACTGTCTTCCCTGGGGCTGTGAAATCAGCAGCTGGGGGATGGGGTATTCAGATAACTCTGCTCCGGAGAACCAGAGAACCCTGGAGCCACCCCTAGGCGGGTAACTTCTCAGCACTTCTTAGCAGCAAGGAGTCAAGGAGTTCAGGGGAGAGCTCCATCTGTCTTCTAGGTCCTTGGAGAACTAGAGGCTGATGGCAGAGGGGTCAGGCTGCAACCTGGGACCAGCCAGCTTTGCATGTGTGACTGTCATTCCACAGGAATTACCTTCTCTTGCGTGTGCAAGCCTCCAGCCGGCCCAGCTCCTCGTAGGACTGGTAGAAAATGTCAAACTCCCTGGCGCCCCAGCCCCTCCAGACAGCCAGGCACCACTCTGTGTTTTCGTTTTCAAAGCTGCACACAACAGTGTCCTTTGCCACCACAGCAGCATCCACCAGCACCCTGCAGAGAGAAGGGGTCTGAGGAAACTCACAGGGTCCCCACTTGGGTGGGGTTGGGACCCTCACCCTGGGCCTTCTGAGGAAGGCAGAGCTGGCTAAGGGGAGGGGAGTATGTCTGCTTGCCAGCCCTCTCTGGGGTGTGCTCAGATGTACCACTTCTCCCCGGTGGCCCAGCCTGCGGGCTTAGGCTTTATAAAGTCCAAACATGGGCTGTGGGCATGAGTTCACTTCCATGGGCTTTGTCTGTAAGAGTCCGACTCCCTGGAAAGCCACAGAAGCAATCAGATCAGGCATCCGTGACTTAACTTCAAAGCGTCCAGAAAACACCAATGAACCAAATTTCTGCTTGTGAATGGCTCATGACCGAGTTTAACTCAACTCCCTTGCCACTAAGCTCAATAGGATTCTTCTCTCATTCTGTTTCTACATGCTTAGGAAATACAGGCTCATATATTAAATGGAAAACCTACTGCCCCAAAGTCATCACTATATACATTTTTTGAAACTGTGGACAGTTCTGCAGGATTGGTGGGTGCGCTACAAGTTTCCTTTTGGGCCGCAGTGCAGCCTCCCTGCCCTGCTGCTGCCCCACCCCGAGCACATACTAACTGCCTTCCTTTCCTCCCTCTGTGCCCCGTGTGTGCAGCCTGCGTGGCACTGAGGTGCTCCTGCAAACTGGGATGTCCAGGGACCTCTGACTCCGCATGGCCTTGCCAGGGCCTCCCCTTAGGCTGACCGCTGGGGCCTCTTTCTCCCTATAGCGAGAAAGAGGTAAAATCTGGCTTTAGGGGATGGATAGGAAAAACAACAACAACTAAACATTAGGACACTAACGGCAGGTATGCCAAGGTCCCAACCTGGGTGCTGCACACCCATTTCCTCCAGAAGGCCAACCTGCAAGCTGGGAACTCCGTCAGTTCAAGGCTTCCAGCCACAGACTCTGGCAGAGCTCGGGAGCAGATCCAGATCTTGCTTCCAGAACCACTAACAGAGCAAGGCTCACTGGCCCGGGATTCACTGCCAAAGTTCAAAGCTGGCAGGCAAGGGAGTGAGACTGCCATGGATGCCTCCTTGGTCATTGTCCTGCTCTGGGAGAAACAAGCTGACTGGGGTTTCTCCACCCTCTTATGAAATAAAAACCCACTTGCCCAGGGATGGGGGATAACTCACGCTACAGGAAAACAGGCCTAGTGTGAAGTGGAAGAGCTCCAAAGTACACACACACACACACACACACACACACACACAATTTGAATTGAGGACTTTTCATAAGGGAGATTTACCATGTGGGGCTCGGTAGTCAAAGTGAGGGGTGTAAACACTGTGGGGAGCTGCAGCTGGTACCAGCCTCATATCACTCCAGCCATGTAGACCATGTTCGGGATAGGCCACCCTGCCCAGCATACCCTCGCAGAGGAGACTGGCATAATCCTGGGGGGACTCACCCACAGACAGTTACTGAACCATGCCTCAGCCCAGGAAGGGCAGGAGCTGAGACCCCAGGCTTGGAGATGACAAGGTGTGCCTATGTCATGTGTCCCCATAGGGTGCTGTGTGGGCAGGTGGACACCTCAGGTAGGGTTTCCTGCTTGGCAGGAAGAACAGTGAATCAATCACCTGGATGCATCTGCATGTCAACTGCAGCTGAATTCTGGCCCTGGAGGCATTCGTTAGGTAGGGTACTTGATCTACAGGTGCACTGGGTACTCCAGAAACAGGGAGCCATGGCCAGTGTGGAGCCCCTAGGAGCTGTCTGCAGGGCCCCATCTTGTTTCCACTTTGCCTTATAGCCAAGTTGGTGGATACGCTATTTGGGAGAATGGAGGGGCAGCAAAGCCACTGTGCAAGACCTGGCTATGGGGCCTTCTGTGCTCATGCTGCTGCCTGGGTCCTAAAGGAGCTGCCACTCAGTCTTACCCATGTGGAGTCAGCTCTCGGGCTTTTAAGACGGCGATGACTCGGCCCCGCTGGGCGCCAGAATCCTTCTCCAGGCCAATGACGATAACATCTCCACCGCGCCTAAGCAACCAAAACCCAGAAGGGGAAGCGTTTTTGTCGGTAGCCGTGCTCTCGGGGGAATGAAGCCGGTGTGCAGAAGGGTGCGGGAGGGAGGCAACGGACATGCAGTTTCTGCTAAGGGATTAAGTTATGGGGAGGGGACAGACCCCAAAGCAGAGGAGAAGTTTCCCAGTGGAAGCTGAATCACAGTTGATTGTGGCTTTCCTTGTGTGGCATCTTAAGCTCTCTGGCAGGCAATAAGCTTCGGTGCAACCACTCTTAGACTTGCTAAAGATATCACTCCCATTCCCAATGGAGGGAACCAACCTTCTTGGAAGCACAGCACCTGCTGGGTCCCCACATGACCATTAAGGAAGCCAGCGGGTCTCCCTGGCTCCCAGGGGGTCTCCTTGCTCTGTGGGCATGCCCTCGATGGTGCCCTCACCTCGGGAGACTTACCTGGGGACCCAAATGAGGTCTCTGACGGCGAGGATCTTCACGGCCTGCAGGTGCTGGCTGAAGGTCTCCCCGTCCATGGGGGTCAGGTCATGCTCAGACCTGTCAGAGGCAGCACTGGGCTCGTGTAGCCTGTCTGAGTCCTCGCAGTCGGGGGAGAAAGGCACGCTGGAAGAACTTGCCGGGGAGCTGGGGAGGCTGGAGGGGGACCTGGCAGCCTGGCGGGGTGGGGATGAGGAGTAGGAGGACATGGAGCAGTAGTCGGTGAGTGACTCCTGGTGGGTCAGGATCTGTGTGCCCAGCTCCTCACTGTACATGATGCTCACGTCCGCGATGGAGTCCCCCTCGGGCACCTTTGGGTTGGCAGTGTGGCTGGCTGCCAGGGGTTCCATGTCCAAGGGCCGCACGGGAAACATGTCCCTGAGGGGGCTGGGGTCCCCACAGAAGTACCGGGCACACAGCTGGTAGGTGGTGGAGTGGTACATCACCAAGGAGTTGGCCTTGTCATCCAGGCACCAGACGACCTCCTCCCCTCTGCCCTCAGAACTGCACACGACCGACGTAACCACGGAGGGGGCCGCGTAGGGCTCCAGCCGCCTGCAGATCTCCAGGGAGGCACAGTCAATGACAAGGAGGCCCGGCCCATTGCTGTACCAGACCTCAGAGCCACTGTTGACCACCTCCATGGCCTTCACTGGGTAGGGGTTCTGCCGTGCGTCTTCGTCTGCGATGCTGAACTTGGACCTGTTGGCTGTGTGTGAGCACAGGTAGGAGCAGCTGTCCTTTGGGGCGCCCCGCACCACGGGAAACACAGCCACAAGCCCATCGGCAAGGCCCGCTAAGACCAGGTAGGAATTCTGCAGGAAGGAGACAGGGATGGGTCACATCCTTCCATTTCACACGTTCCACCAACATGCTTCAGGGCAGCCAAGCTCTTAGAAAGGCTGGGGCTGCTCCTAAGGAAGTGAGCTCTGACTCAGCAGAGCCATGTCTACCATCCCTGCAGCAAAGAAAGGAATATGCCAGCGGGAGGCAGGGCCTGTGGCACCAAGTGAGACCGCGTGTCACCTGGACCACATGGGCCGCCTCTGCTTGTGCCAGCTTCTTGCAGGGCGAGCAGCAGGGAGCTGCCTTCTCCTTGAGGCCACCAAGGCCTCCTTCAGAGGCAGGACCTGGTGCCCGCCCTTTTCTGGGTGTGCTTAATGTGATGGCAGTGTGGGCATGGCAAGTGTCTGTGCACTGCCCCCTGCCTGCCACCCCCTACCAGCTGGAGTGTTCCATAAGGACGGGCTCCCAGCCTACCAGCATCCCCGTGGCACTGGCCTGGCACAGGGAAGGGCTCAGTCTCCTTCATCTTGGTGGCCCTGTGACTCCACCTGGCTCCTGCTCCAGGTGGACATGTGTTTGCTGAACTAGTTCTGGAAGAAATTGCTTCCTACTCAACCCTCTCGTGGAGGCCTGTCTCAGCCTGCTAAGCCCTCATCCCAGCTTACATCTATCTGAGATGCCTGTGGTTCAGCTGACATTGACAGGGTCCTCAGGGTGCCCCCCACCCTCTCAATGAAGCATGAGCTCTTCTACACCCGCCAGAGGTCACTGGGCAGAGGCCAAAGTTGCAGGGACCATGCTGAATGCTGGGCCCACCCCAGACCACCCCAGGGCACCTCCCAGGGCAGAGCCAGGAATACAGTGCAGCTTCGCAGCCTAGACACCACGTCGGCTGTGGTGGGGGTGGGAAGAGGTCTACAGAACAAAGCTGGAGTCAGGGCAGAGCAGGGAGCTGGGCCTCATGCCAGTGAGGGGGCAGGGCAGAAAGCCTCCTTGTGGGGAGCTGGGGAGCTCAGGAGGCTGGCTGTGCAGGGAAATGGAATGGAGACCCGTAGCTCACTGTCCAGGACAACATGCTGTAAGAAAGCGTATCGAAATCCATCCCCAGGATTTTAGGGAAAGAAGGCAGCCAAGGCAAATAGGCTCCAGGTCTGTATCTGGAGTCCTGGCTCAGGCCCCGGCCAGGGCGGTGAGCACCACGTTCTGGCTGGGTGTGAACGTGCGTGCGCGTGCAAGAATGCAGGCTCTGCCCTGGCGGCCTCGGAGGGGGCAGACACCCTGCACAGGAGGCCCTGCACAGAGCACGCTTTATTCCCTCTGGTCGTGCAGGAGGTGGTGCCCTGGCTGGGGGCTCTGGCCAGTGGTGGCCTCAATAACACTTTGTGTCGTGTTCTCCTGTGCTCTGGTGCGGGCCGGGTCCCAAGCTGCCTAGCCCTGCTGTGGGGCCGTGGTCATAAATGACTCTAAGGTTTATTTCATACTTTTTTTTTTTTTTCTAAAGAAATGAAACTGAAGAAGGATGAAGAGAAGAGTTCATGTATTTTGCTTCCATCCAGAAGTAATAATAATGCTCTTTTACCAAGTGCACCGGCCTAGACCTTTGGGTATGCTAGGCCTTCTCTCTGTCTCTTCTTATACCTATTTTGTAGATGGGCAAACTGGAATTGGATGATGACAGTCACCACATTTTAACAAAGCAACACCAGTAAAGGCTTCTTGTGCATTTACCGAGGGTGCCTACTGCACAGACAGGCCCCTCAGGGTGGATGAAACCAGAACTGCCTGAGCCGTGCCTGAATCCTGTGGGCGGAGGAGCCTGGAAAAGCTAGGGAGCTGCCTCCCACTGAGGGGCAGCTTCTCAAAGGAGGGGCCAAGGCCTTTGGTCTTGAGAGCTGAATCGGAGGCGGTCTGGGAAGAGGTGCTGGGATGTGAAGGGCCCAGCACAAGAGTCGGGTGCTTTGTGGGGAGGGTGCTAGGGCCGTCAGGGTCCGGAGGACAGCCTCACAGAGGCTGGGGCTAATCCCAAGGTGTAGCACAGCTGGCTGGGCCCTTTATTGGGGAGAGTGCCCCTTGGGGTCTCATTTAGAAAGGCCAGGGCTAGGAAGTTAAAGAGATGAGTCTGCAGGGCCATGCTGGACAAGGAGAAACTGTGTTTGGTGTAGATGGTGAGTACTTGGTGGGAGGCAGAGATGGAGGGAAGATCAGGACCTCCAGGACCTGGTGACCAAGTGGCTGTGGGGTGGCTCTGGCCTGGGCAGGTGGGAAAGAGGCTCCGGATGCCACTGCCCTCTGAAGGGGAAGGGCACACACATGACTACTCACTGTGCCATTTGCACCAACAGTCATTCCACCTGAGTCAGGGCATTTGCATGTGAAAGGGGGTTTTCACTCGGCCCTCAGTCTGGCTGAGGACTTAGGTTTTTGCAAACCAGAAGGCACTAATGATGGACCAGATCTGATATCTTTCCTCCCACTGTCTCTAAGGCTGTGTCCTAGGCCAGGTGGTACTAGAAGGTGTGGCTCTGCAGTCCCCACCCTGACACAGCTTTGGGCTGTTGCCATCTAGGAGATGCCTCCCAGGCATGGAAGCACATCAGACACCTGCATACCCGCCTTTGCCCTGACCTCACCTTTTTAATAACAGGCACGGCCAAGAAGCAGGTGACGACAGCTGGAGTGTCCAAGGCCCGTTGGGGTGTGTTTAAGGGACACATGCCCTTGAGGGTGTAGATGTAGATTTTCTGGTCCTGCAGAGGCAGACAGGTCCACTGTGAGACCCAGGCTGGAAAGTGTCTGGCATTTCCCGAGGCATTCCCATGAGGATGCACTCAGCCTTGGGGATCCCCTGTGGGTCTTGGAAAGCTACATGGATTGACACGTTCTGGTGGGTTGTTAATGTATTTCTGTTCTTTGTAGAAACGTTGAAAAAGACAGAATAGTCTAAAGAGGAAACAGAAAATAGCCCATAATCTATTCCCCAGAGAAAACCACCATTGGAATTTGGGGCCACAGCCTCTCAGAGGTTCTCTGTGGTATTTGTATGTGCACCTGGTACCGGCAAAGTGGACTCATGCTGCAATGCTATCTTCTCACTGTTCTTTCCATGTGACAGCACGCTGTAGGCAGAGCCCTTGCTCTCACTCATTCTAGCAGGAAATGATGTGGGAGCATCTCTTGGCTGCCTGGGACTGGGGTGCACCTACTTTGGCTAGTGTTGTCAGATGTTGCCTAACACTGAGATTTCCGAGGCTTAAGTGGTAAGCATGCTTTTGAGATTTCTGATACATACGTGAACACACTTCCAAACTGCCCCGAGGAAAAGTTGCACCAATCTATCCCCACACCCACAGCCTCAGAACAATTTTTTTTTTTTGGAGACGGTGTCTCACTCTGTCGCAAGGCTGGAGTGCGATGGTGCGATCTTGGCTCCGTGCAACCTCCACCTCCCGGGTTCAAGCGATTCTCCTGCCTCAGCCTCTTGAGTAGCTGGGAACACTTGTGCACCATCATGCCCAGCTAATTTTTGTATTTTTTAGCGGAGACAGGGTTTCACCATGTTGGCCAGGATGGTCTCAATCTCTTGACCTTGTGATCTGCCTATCTCGGCCTACCCCAAAGTGCTGGGATTACAGGCGTGAGCCACTCTGCCCAGCCTGCCTCAGAACATTTGTGTTTGGCCAGTTCTCTCGGGATTTCTCAGAACACCCCTCCTTAGGCCTTCTAGTGACTTCCCTGATTTCCCTGATGTGAAAGCAAGAGGCCTTCGGAGCTGAGTGACTCGGCAGTGTTATGGGAAACCCAGGCATGTCCCTAGCTTCCTGGGTCTCTCCTCCTGCTGAGGGTCTACATCTGGTCCTCACCATCCCAAATCCCGGCCGCCAGCCAGCAGCAGGCAGGGTTGAGCTGCCCTTGGTTACAGGCTGCTACTTCACAGGGTTCATGGCATTACTCTGGGATTGCACGGGGATGCACTGGGGGTTATCTGAAAGTTCACTTGACCTGGTGTCCTGTATTGTTATGAATGTGGCCCCCACCCAGGGGCTGCACCCAGTGGGCAGTGATTACCTCGGTGGGCAGGCCTGTGGGCAGTGCTTACCTCAGTGGCTGTCCACAGGGATCTCTGGACCTGGAGCTGGCAGCTCACCTTCATCCCGGGGCAGCTCATCCTCTGCACCTCCATGAGACCCTTCTCTGTGTTCACCACCGTGTAGTTCCTGTAAGTGGCAGCAACTGTGCGGTCAGTGCCTGGGGGCCAGGGGCTGCCTCCTTTCCCCAGGCCTGGCCTGGGCCAGCCGCGAGCCTCATTTACCTCCCCTGCTCCCACCCAGGGTTGCATCCTGCTGCGTTCTGAGAGGGCAGAGCTGGGTTCTGTCTGAAGGGTAATGCTTGACCATCACCCGCAGGGAGGGCATTCCCCATGGAAGAAAGGCTGTTCTCTTTCTGTGACCCCTGAGGGTTGAGACGGTTGCCCCCAGTAGGAAGGAGGGGCCCTCCCACCAGCCATATCCTTCCCACCCGTGTTACGTGGGGAGCCCCTCACTGCAGAGTAGACAAAGTCAGGGTTAAAGACAAGTTGGGAGAATTCCAAAGGAGATTGGGTTGGGGTGGGGGGCACTCAAAATGTGCTCCCAGCACGAGTGCTCTGAGAACTAATGGCTTGTCGTTTGCGAGAGCCTTGGCTCACCAGGCCGCTGTCCCCGGCATCGCTGCCTCCCCTCGGCCCGTGGCAGGCATCCCGGGCACCCACTGCATGGAAGAGGAGGCTGAAGCTGATGCGACTGGGAAGTTACAAACCCCACATCACATAGCTCTGTCCCTCAAACTCAAGAGAGTACGTTAAGCTCACGAATAGCATTCTCAATATAAAGTTTCTCCTACTACCAAATTTTAAAACGCTTCACCACTGTTGACTGATAATGTATTTGCAGATGATAGAAATGGTAGAAAATACAGCAAACAAAAACTTCCTTCAGGTATATTTGTCTCCTTTTCCCATCATTTTTTTATGCAACAGAAAAACAAAACTAAGATATTCTAATAGCTTTTACTTTGAAAACAGTTAAAAATAGAGAGAGTCATAAAGAATAATTGCCCCTGGGCCCCGCAACTGGAATTGTGTCCTATGTGAATCCTATTTACCTGCTCAGCTGCCCTGCCTCTCTCGCCTCCTTTCCTTCCTTAATTCTCAGACAGATCTCAAGTCCAGCTCCACCCTGCTTGGCTGCCCGTGTGCTCTGGGCCAGCCCCCTCCTCCCTTCCTGTGAGTGAGCCTCTCTTCAGGCCAGCGGTGAGTTTTAAAGAACCTTCACAGGTCACAGGAAGAGGCCTCTCTCTTCCCTCTGGGAAGTCTTCTGAGGCCTGAGCAGAACTGTCTCAGGTACCTGCCACGTGTGTGTCTCTAGGCCAGCAGAGCAGGGTCTGGCCCAGCCTCCCAGGGCCAGTCTGGCTCCAGGTCCTCCAATTCACCCTCAGAAGTGTCTGACGGTGTCCTTGCTTCTAGGGTGGCAGATGTTCCCGGCGCACTTCCTGCCCCAGACCTGGACTCTGCCATGATTCTGATGAGCCCTGGTTCACTTTGGTACTTAGAGAGCACAGTCTAGGTCCTAGGGATGCACACTGGCATTTGGTTGGTCCTTGTTTTTAGGCCTTTTCAGTGAGCAGAGCTGAGAAATTTGTGTTTATTTTTTTTTTCAACTATATCACGAGTCCATCCAATCAATTCAGAACTGCAAGCTTTTACTTACCCTACTTTACAACTCTTTCTCTTTTAGCCCATGCTGAAAATCACGGTTTCCAGCAACAGCAATATAATTACTCATTAACTTACTCCACAACCACAAGCAGCATCTTAGAATAACAATCACAACAGCACTACCAACAATATAATTACTGAAACCTGTTTAATTAATATGTTTGCTTTTTGTTTTGTCCTTAGAGTACATCCCATCAGGAAGGCATGCTCCATTGCTGTGTTTTAGAATAACTTCTCTTTTTTCTGAGGCAGGGTCTCACTCTGTCACCCAGGCTGGAGTGCAGTGGCACAGTCACCACCCACTGGGTTCAAGCAATCCTTCTGCTTGTCAGACTCCTGGGTTCAAGCAATCCTTCTGCTTCAGCCTCCTGAGTAGCTGGGACTACAAGTGCTCGCCACCATTCCCAGCTAAGTTTTGTTATGTTTTTATTTATTTATTTATTTTTGTAGAGACAAGGTTTCACCATGTTTCCTAGACCAGTCTCAAACTCCTGAACTCAAATGATCCACCTGCCTCGGCCTCCTAAAGTGCTGGGGTTACAGGCATGAGCCACAAGGCCTGGTCAGAAAAACTTTTTTACACCATCATTTCTTAGAGTGCATCTGTGTCACAACACTCAGTCCTAATGGCATAAAATCTGATGCAAACTCACGAAGACTGACCTAAGAGAAACTGCAAAGTCTGTTCCATTTATCTTATTATGTCTCAAGCTCAGTGATATTCCCCCACTCTACCCCAGGCACCCTCTGCAAAGGTCATACTCCAGATGCTGTCTTTACTACTGACTGGGTGCCTCCCACCCACCCCATGGCAAGCATGTCTTTTCTGACGGCCACCTCCTACTTTTTCAGCTCACCCCACCTAATACCATAACTCTTGAGGTTTAAAAAAATTTTTTTTTTAACTCTAGCAATACCTAGGATCCTTTGGTACTTTCCGTTGTGCTCCCTGAATTTATGGCCTCACGTAGGTGCCTTGGTCCATCTCTGTATCACTCCCTTGAAAACACCCCGCCCCTGCCCCTCTCTCCCTCCTGGCAAAACCCCAACTTTGTTTAAACCCACCCTGTTGCCCCTTCTGCAATCTGGGGCAGCAGAACATTCTTGAGAAAGTCACATAACCAGGCTGACAGGTCTCATTTCCTTTAAAAAATGTTTTTAAATTTTCTAATTTTTTAAAAGATGGGGTCTTGCTATGTCATTCAGGCTAAACTTGAACTCCTGGGCTCAGGGGATTCTCCTGCCTCAGCCTCTTGAGTGGCTAGGACTGTAGGCACATGCCACAGTGCCCTCATGTCCCCAGACACCCTGGCAGATACTACTCATTTCTGGTGTCTCTTAACCACAAAACCATACATGCACGTCTGTTTGTGTGGACTTTCTTCTGCTCTCCCTGCTCTTTCTTGAGTGCAGTCTAACCAGGTTCTGGACCCTACTGTCTGCTAAATAATTCTCATTGTGGTCAACATGGACTCTGTTCCCAAATTCCACAGTGGCCTCCCACCCCAAATTCAAAGAGGGCAGGGCAGGCCATAGGAGCTTACCTGGACTCCTCTTTTCCGTCCCAAAACACCACGGTGTACTCCTGGCCCTGGGACGAGAAGAAAGCTGTCTGCTTTCCACAGTGCAGCTCATACATGAAGATGGCAAAGGTCGGGTCCTTCATCTGGCTCACAACCGACAGGGCCAGCGGTCGCTGAGGGAGAAGAGCCACCAGAAGGGAGCAAGGTCACTTACAACCAGATTGGTGCCAATTCTGCCCATGAGGTCAGCCAGCTTCAACCAGGGAGAAATGAGGGATTCTGTTCGTTCAGATTGGATCCAAACAAGAGGCTAAAACAGCTTCAGATGTCAGGAGCAAACCCATCCAGATATCTGGGTCACCCTTGGCTATGGCAATTTAAACTCATCTGGTCAGGTTAGCTGAACCCCAGGTATTCCAACCCAGGCCAAGGACATACACTCTTCATCTCACTATATTGCCCAAGCTGGAGTGCAGAACCTACTCACAGGTGCAATCATAGTGCACCACAGCCTTGAACTCCTGGGCTCAAGTGATCCTCCTGCCTCAGCCTCCCCAGTGGCTGGGACTATAAGTCCATGTCACCATGCCCAGATAAAGACATGCATTCTTCTAAAGAATATCCTGTTTACTCTCAATACATTAAACTAGCTCGTTTGATTTAATAAATGAGTTTTAACCTTGAAACCACTAGCCTCTTCCAAAAACACAAAAACACCACCAACAAAAAACTAGCCTTAACACTATAATATGATCTCTGATTCTCACAACCAAACCTTTTCCCCGTTACTTTAGAAAGAGATACCCACATTCTCTCTGTTCTTGCACAGGGACTGTATTGTTATAAAGGGGCTGATATACTTTGTTTGCATGGTGAAGTAACACAAAAGTTGGGGAGGAAAAGGAAGTTTGTTTCCTAAGAGTGACATGCACACACAAAGAAAATGAAAGTAGATATGTTAGAAGCAGCAAATATCACCCTCTAGAAGAAATGAGCAGAGAAGGGTCGCCAATTGTGACGGGTGGGCAGCCACACACACATACTCTGGGGACCCACAGCTTCTGCCACATGGCAGGAGGTCCCAGGGCCCTGGGCTTTGTGCTCCCAAGTACCTTCTCTGGCTTAGTGTCCCAGCACTCCATCATGAGTGCCTGCAATCGATGGAACTGCACTTCCTCCGGCTGCCCCAGAACTGGGCGGATGCCCTTGGACAGTTTCTTGGCAATCTGGAGCTGGTGGTGGCCCAGTGCAGGTCGCTGTCCTGACAGCAACTCGTAGAGCACCATTCCATAGGAGAACATATCTACCTGGGCACAGAATAAGCCAAGTCAGGTCCCTGCCTGGGCCCAGTGGCCTTCACTAGTTGGCCCTGAGGTTGACAATTAGACAAGGAAAACAAACATTCAACCAACCACCTGACCATGTCCCTCTGTCCATTTATCCATCCATCCTCCCAACTACCCATCCATCCACCCATCTGACCACTTTCTCTTCTATCCATTTATCTCTCCATTTTCTTACCCTTTCTTCTTTCCATCCATCCATCCATCCATTTGCTTGTCTTCCTGTACATTTATCCATTCTTCTCATCTGTCCATCCATCTGACCACCTGTCCTGCACATTTATCCATCTATCTTCCTATCCTTCCTCTTTTCCATCCACCCATCCATCTGACTTCCCACCATATCGTCCATTTGCCCATTGTCCCATCCATCCATCCATCCATCCATCCATCCATCCATCCATCCATCCATCCATCCTTCCTTCCGTCCAATAAAACATACTGAGAACTTGCTGTTAGTCACTGATTAAGGACTCCAAGGAGGTCATGGTCCTTATCCGTGAGTAGCAAGACAAGGCAGGAAAACACATACCCTCAGCTTGATGTGCTTGGTACTAAAAGTGCTGTGTATGCAACTCATAAAAAAAGGAGTGTCTCCTGGATCACAACATGTTGCCTTCTCTAATTTTCATAATCATAAAAAGGTCCAGCAAGGAAAATTTATACAGACCCCTATAAGGGTCAAGAAATAATATTTTAGCAGGAGAATGGCTGAAATAGACTTGAGAATTTCAAATGTGAATGTTTCCATGATAATCTGAGTTTCAAGGTGACCTCCTTATTGAAGTCACCTACTATTGTGAAGCTCTTATTTTTGTTGCTTTGATTTGCCTTGTCTATCTTGGGCCACAGCCACAGGTGCTGAGCTAATCCACACATGCACAGGTCATTCCTACAGCAATTAGTCAATGACCATCTGAAAAATCACCAAATAATAAGAAATTATAGACAAGAGAATTTTAATGCTGGGTGATTAATTAACAAGGCTGGTACTAGATGCAATACATGCATGGTAAGATGACTTTAAGTTGTCTGTGGGCCTGCATCTACCAAATAGCCATCAGGGATAAATGTTATTAGAAGATCAATATTTAGTCATTGTCTCAACTGAGGCTGGCAGCGCAGTTGCCTGGGGATGCCAGCTTGTCCTTTCACTCTTCTCCTGGTTCGGCATTCAACTTGGCCAGCACCCTGTGACCAGGACTTAAGGACAGGGGTCTTTACCGTCCTTATTCTGTCTACTCCTCCTGAGTGCCCTGCAAGGCTGGTCCTGTGTCCTCATTGTGCACATCTAAATGTGAGTTGGAGCCCAAATCCAGACGTGTTTCTGTCTTGGACTCTTCATCTGCTGTTTACAGCCTCTACAATGTTTCTGAATCAAGGTTTGAGAACTCTGAGGCTAAGGAGAAGTCAATCTTGCTACAAGCAGACAGACATAGGCCCCTGCTCCCTTCTGGTTCAAGCCAGAACCTCCCTCATGGAGCAAGGGAGAGGGAGAAAAATGTGCTTTTGGGGATGCTGAGCCCCGAAGCTGCAGGTGCCTCCAGGAATGCCTGGCTAGCCTCAGGGCTGGGCTCCTGCATTGTGGGGCTGGGCCAGGGGATCCAGGCAGATACCTTCTCATCATATACAATTCGAGGCCTGATCTCTGGGGCCTGGTAGCCAGGAGTGCCCTCCACGCCTAGAGCACCCTCATGGAATGACTGCCTCGAAATCCCGTAGTCAGATAGCTTGATGTTGATGTGCTCCTTGACGTCAAGGGACCACACCAGAATGTTGTCCGACTTCAGGTCGCAGAAGATGATGTTTTTCTTGTGCAGGTAGGCCAGGCCCGAGGCAATCTGGTAGGCTATTTTTTGGGTGAGCATGTGTCCCAGCGGTATGAAGGAAGAATCTTGCAAAGAAAAACAATTTTCAAATGTATCAAAATTTCAGTTTTGATAGAATCAAATTATCATGATAGCAACTGTCTTTTTGTCTTCCTATCTCCCTAGATACTATATATTCTTTTTTTCTTTTTTCTTTTTTTGAGACAGAGTCTCCCTCTGTCACCCAGCCTGGCGTGCAGTGGCACGATCTCAGCTCACTGCAAACCCTGCCTCCAGGGTTCAAGCAATTCTCATGCCTCAGCCTCCCAAGTTGAGTAGCTAGGACTACAGGCACATGCCACCATGCCTGGCTAACTTTTGTATTTTTAGTAGACATGGGGTTTCACCATGTTGGCCAGGCTGGTCTTGAATTCCTGGCTTTAAGTGACCTGCCCGTCTGGGCCTCCCAAAGTGTTGGGATTGCACATGTGAGCCACTGCACCTGGCCCCTAGATACTTTATATTCTATTGACACATTCTCACTATTCACCAGACTGCCAGAAGGGGCAGAGAATGGCCTGGTTAAGTGAAATAGTATTTAGGATAGAAGTGCTCATCACTATAGCTTCATTCATGATACCTTATTCCTGGAATTGCTGGCAGTTTTGCTGAATGAGCAAGGATTCGAAATCTCTAGAGTTCATCTCAGGTCAAGGCTGTCCTACGTAAAGGGGTCAGTTGCAAGTAGAAGAATTTTGTTTGGCTGGGTGTGGTGGCTCATGCTGGTAATTCCAGCACTTTGGGAGGCTAAAGTGGGGGGATCGATTGAGCTCACAGTTCGAGAACGACCTGGGCAACAGGGCGAAAGGCCATCTCTACAAAAAACAAAACAACAAATTAGCTGGGTGTGGTGGCATATGCTTGTAGCTACTGGGGAAGTTGAGGTAGGAGGATTGCTTGAGTTCAGAAGGTCAAGGCTGCAGTGAGCTGAGATTGCACCACTGTACTCCAGCCTGGCCAACAAAGCAAGATCCTGTATGAAAAAAATAAAATAAAAATAAAATAAAATAAAGAATTTTGTTTAAAAAATTATCTTCCATTGAGGCAGAAGTGATTCATTTTAATAGCATTTCTTCTTCCCTAGTCACCCTCTGGCAACTCTGGAGTTTAGTTGCTCATTTCTCAACGTAAATTACTTTAACGTTTTATTTTAAAATATAGTATGGTCCCACTGATCCTAGGATCTGAGTCTCAGCAGTGGTGTGCATGTGCAGTTAAGAAAGTGATTTAATGCAGCTCATGTGCTTGGTGCCCTCCCAGAGAGGATGTTATCATCCTCCTTTTATAGGCAAATAAACTCAGCAGCTTCCTGGACTGTGGCAGAGCCTGGTCTTAGCCGACTCCACAGCGTGCCCTCTGCCGTCCTCGCCAAGGCTCTGCCCAGTGACTGGACCTGGCGAGGTGCCTGGCCTCACACCCAGGGGATGGTCACACGAACCATGGGTTGGGTGTGCCGTGGGCTTGCCAAGGCCACCTGAGGCTCTACCCCTGTGCCAGGCAGGAGGCCCTTGGGGCTCTGTTGGTCTCAGGAGCTGGGTGGGGCGGCGCACCGCGGTACCTCTGGCGTTCTCGGACAGCACGGTGTTGAGGCTGCTGAGTGGCGCGAGCTCCAGGGCGAAGCAGAGCGGGTGGATGCTGATGCCGATAAGCGCCACAATGCAGGGGTGCTGCAGCGCGTGCAGCATGCTGGCCTCCTGCCGGAACTCAGAGAAGTTCTTCATGGCGTCCGTGGCCCGCAGGTGCCTCAGCATGGTGTCTGCCGTGGAAAGCGCAGTGTCAGCCAGCAGGACACGGGGTGCCTGCAGCCTCAGGCCTCTCTAAGGTGGCACAGAGCTTAGACCCGGGCAGCATATGTCTGAGAAAAACAGCACCAACCTGGGACCCGCTTACCTGCCGGGACATTAGCAAAGTTCTTGAATTTTTTGATGTGGAAGCGCTTGACAGCTACGGGCTGGCCCTGGTACCGGGCCCGGTAGATGACGGTGCCACTGCCACCCTGGCCCAGGACGCTGCCCTCGTCCTCGCTGTGCTCCAGCTTGCTGTTCTCCAGGAAGAGCCTGCCACACACACTTGGCATCAGCCACATCGCCCCGGCCCTGACGCAGGTGGGTCCTGGGCTGGGTCATTTGTCCCCATGGCCGAGAGTCATGGTTCAAAGCCATCTGTGAGGCTGGACAGATCTGGGCCACCCCGGCCCTGCCACTTGCGGGTGGGCACACCTGGGTGGGTTATGGAGGCTTGCTAAGCCTCAGTCTCCTCTGTAAAGTGGGCTCAGGACCCGAACAGCCTCAGAGGTGATGATGGCTGGTACAGGGTGAAGTCCACGGAAGTGGTGGCCATAGAGAAAGGATCCCTTTGGAAGTTTTCTTCTGAAAGGTGACGTTTCCTATTTCCTCCCCAATTCTCTCCCTAGTTATCATCTTGGGTTAGCATAGGTAGAATAAACTCTAAGAACAGATTTGAGGGGTCCAATGCTGAGCACTAGGGTTACAGATAGGAGTCAGCGTTTGACAAAGGAGGTAAACAAGGCTCTGGGTGGGAGCTCTCCCCTTCCTGAATGCCCGAGGAGTGCCGGCTGTGCTTATCTGCTGGCCCAGGAGCTGGTGGGGAGGTAGGACTGGAAAGGAGAGGCAGCTCAGGAGAGAGCAGCTCTGGCTACGAGGGGAAGGGGGAGACATATGGGGAGGCAGGATGGCTGCACTTGCAAAGCGCTTTTCCCAGCTGGGCCTACCAAGGCCTCCAAAATGGAAAGCCAGCAGCCTGTACCCTTCAGGCAGCCGAGGATGGGAACCTAAAAAGCTACTGAGATTGGTGGGAAGTGATGGCTGGAGCATCTGCCAGCTCCGGAGGGGTCTTCCTGGAGATCACTTGGCAACTGCACAACGAGGAGCGCCCCCTGTGACCTGCACTGTGTTCTGGGAGGGGCCTTCGGGGTATACCTGGCCGGGAAGTCGGTCATGAACAGTTCAGGGACCAGCTCCTGGAGCGGCACGGGGAGGTCCGGGTGTCTGGGACAGGAGATGAAGTCCCGCTCGATGGCTGTGAGGACGCAGTCTTCCATGTCGAAGTATTGCACACCCTCTGATTTCTCACTGGGGTCTGTGTGCTGGGCCCAGGCTGTCTCGCAGACTGGGCAGGGCACATACTGCTCCATGAGTGGAGTCCCGTCACTCTCTGTGGCCGTCAGGGCTAAATAAGGACAGAGCAAGAGACAGCTTCACAAGAAGGAGGTGCAGGAGGGCCCCTGAGCAGCACTCTGTACCCCAGGCCCCGAGGCCTTCACAGCAGGGGAGTTGCCTGTCCTGGCCTGTACCCGAGAGACAGGCCGAAACCCACTGCCACATTCAGGTGCCTTTTTGGAGAGCGCAATTGTTTGTCCTGAAAGATGCGTCTAGGGAGGGTTCAGGATGCTTCTGAGAACTGCCCAGTGGTCGGGACCCTGAGCAGGCTGGCTGGGGGGCCTGAGAGGAGGGTGGGGATCCCTCCTGCATGACTGGGCCCTAACAGGTCATTACAGACTAGGTCTGAGCTATCCTCCAACAATCACAGCAGTGTGGAAACCACTCTTCCTACAATTAGAAACATCAGGTTTGCAATGTCTATGAAGGGCAATGCAGGGGGAGAAATGAGTGCAAATTATCACAGACAAAACTGAGTCAGTGGACATGGGTTCCCTCCCACGCCTCTGATAGGAGGTGCAGAGAAACACCCTCCAAGGTGCCCTGTGGAGGTGCCCTCAGGGCAGGCCAACTGCCTGCTTCATGCAGGGTAGGAAGTGGATGCCTAGAACTTTCCAGGCACATCTGATATCTGTAGGTCCATGTGTAAGGCATCCCGTTGGGAGGGGCCCCTGGCTGGGGATGCCAGCTCCAGGCAGCCTGTCTCAGGTGCTCACCAGAGCCCTTTCCATCTCAGGTGACTGTCTAAGGGATCCACCTGTCAAACTGCCCAGCACCTGCTGTGGGGGGAACACTGGCTGGTGGGGAGCTGCAAAGTGCCCAGAAAGGTTTACATGGGCCTAAGGGGCCCCCTTAGATGGCCAAGTGCCTCACAAATCACCATGACACACACACCCAACTGCCTTCTCCGAGGGCTCCTTTCTAAGCCTTTTTTCCTTGTAGGTCACCCTTCCTGCCAACAGCGTGAAGGACCCAACCCTGACAGAGACCAGACCCTGGGATCTGGAATGTGTATCCTGAGTGTATGCTGCCACTGCTCCTTAGCCACCTTCCCTGACGCTCTCTGGGATGCAGGCATTGCATGCAGGTGAGGCCGGCCGAGGAGGCCTGGGGACCTGCCGAGGCTTGCGGGGGCAGCACTGGAATTCCAAACCCGCTCTCCAGTCACTTGCTTGGCCTCCAGCGTTCAGGGGCTGAGGCTCTCGGGGCAGCCATTTCCACAGCTGCTTGCCCCATTAAGCCCCAGATGGCCTTCCCCCTGCAGGTTGCTCTGGGAGTTGTCTCCACCGCAGGAGCAAAACAAACAGGGAGCCTCAGCAACTTCACTCAAAGAGTACTTTTTTTGGGTGAACTATCAATGAAGAAACAGATCCAAAGGGACTGAGAAGGGCTGTGTTAGTGGTTTGATCACCGCCAGGACGGGTGGGGCGGCAGGGAAGGAGAGCAAGGCCCCTTGGTGGCCACAGCTCCCCTCCATCCCTGCCCCTGCACAGAGGATAAATTTCCATTTGCCGACTCCCCCCCAGTTTCAGCCACACCGTCCTCACTGTGAAAACAAGACATGTGTGAGCTCACACTGAGCATCTCCGTGGACCATTCGTGGTACCAGTGTCATCTTTCTTGCCATGCCTGTGGGCAGCTGGTAGGCCGCTTCCCTGCACAATCCCAGTGGGGTTTGAGCCCCATCCTCCCCACGGTACTCCCCCCCCCATGACAGAGCTGGACTTCTCGGGGGCCAGGACTCCCACCAAAGGACGGTTAAGACCCCCTAGTTTGCTTGGGCCGAATCCCAGTGGGATTTTTGTCCTCCCCAAAAGAAGCAGCCCCACCCTGATTTATAAATAAATATTAGCATGAACAAGGGCTTGTTTCCAGAATCTTCTCTTACCAGGAAACCACTGATCAATCAAGGAATTGACATGATCTGTGATGAAAGCCATGGCTGAGAAGTCCCTCATTTCTGATTGACAAATGATTTTTATTCCTCCACTTTTCTTCTTTTTCCAGTTCACATCGGAAGATTCCACACTGCAACCCAGAAACCAAAAGGAGCCCATTGCGATCTGGCTCTGGGGGACCCTGGGATGATATCCCTGCCCCTAGGGACAGGATGCAACCCCTGGGAACCTGGAGAGACTCTGTGCCCTGCAGGACTGATGGGGGACTCCTCCCCGTATGTACGTGTGTGTGGCCCTGCCTTGCTCTTGCCCCGGACTTGGCCTGGTGAAGGAGACACAAGGAAGATTGCCGTCAGGGATGCTCAGTCTGGGAGCTGACCCTCGGGTGAGGCCCTCAGGAAGTTACCGGACCTCCCTGAACCTCAGTGTTCTCATCTGTCCAGCAGCAACCGTGGGCTTTAAGTGCGAACATCTCTGTGGAGGCGGCAGGTCCCAATCAAGCCCTCTGTAAAGTTGCCTCGCCTTTTCCCTTCTTCTCCTCTCACAGAGCTGAAGACTATTTTGCAAAGTTCATTGTAAATATTAAAATAATCTTGGGTGTTTATCATTCGTTAAACCTGCTGAGCTGACTTTAGGTCTACTGCTCTCAAAAAAAAAAAAAAAAAAAAAAGAATAAATGGCACAGGGAGCTGAGTTCCGTGTCTGGTTATGGGCAGTGCAGAGGGAGGCTGAGGAGTCTCAGTGCCCCCTGCCCCCAGCCTGGCTTCTCACAGAACAAGGGGGACGGGCAGGATGGCTGCAAGGTCACATGGTGACCTGAATAACTGTGGGAGGTGCCTGAGGCTCTCCTGAACTCAATGGCCACCACGTCCCTCAAGTCCTGAGCTGTGGCCGCCACATCTGCCTTTGCCTTTCCCATCCTGCAAGGGGGACTCAGCAGGGGTGAGGAGCCCCGAGCCTCTGGGACACTCATGGGAGGGCCTCACATTTCTAGCAAGCTGCCATGGCAAGCCGCTCTCACGAGCAAAATTCTGGACACCAAGAGGATGAAGCATCCTGCTGACGTGGCCCCGGGGTGGCTGCTGTGGCACCTGCTGGCCCGGTAGGTGAGCTTCCAGGTGTTCCTACCTGAGGTAGCCCCCATCAAAAGTGACCAGGAGCCCTTCCTGCCAATAGATGGTCTGATTTCTTTTCACTCTGAATGTGCTACAGCGATTTCTCTGGTTTCCTGTAAAACTGTAAATGGCGACTTTCCTGTTCCTGCTTTTAGTATTCTTCTTGTTTTCAAAAAGCTGAAAGACAGAGAAAAGACCCTGCTTAAGTATTCCGGGCTCCTCGCTGGTCCTGGGCAGAGCTCTGCGGAGGCCAGGCTGGGCCCCATCTTGATAAATGACCCGCATCTTTCCCACCCTCTCCTCCCACGCTGCTCATCCCTGCTGCCAAATTGAACGTTACATTATCTGACAGGGTTTCTAGGGTATTCTGGAAACGGTTTTTTCCAGAGAATTGAAAAATAGGCTTTCCTTTAAAAATTTTTCTCTTTCTGACTTTACAAGCAAATATTCATATTAGAAAATGCAGAAAATACAGAAAAATGTAAGAGGGCGAACAAAACACCCATTTAACACCAAGCAGAGAGATCATTCAGATTTTGGTATATGTTATTCCAGGATTTTTTTTTCTATCTCCATATATGTGTAAAAAACAGCTGAAGCCATATTGGATTTCTAATTTCATATACATTAAAAAACCTCACTTTTCCTATGTCATTAAAAACACACATAAAATTCATTTTTCTAAAGTTTAATATTCTATTAAGCATAGTAATTTCCTGAACCACTCTCTTCTGGAAGTGTAAGTTGGTGCCAATCTTTTGCTCCTTCAAAACCACCGTGAGTTACATGAGAAAGGCACAGAGCTTTCTCTCATTGAAAATGGTATCCTTAGTTTAGATGTTTACCAGTCGGATTATCGGTCGAAGGGTCTGAATATTTTAAAGTTCTGGATGCATCCTGAGGAATCGCTTTTTGAATGACGAGACTGTCCTGTGCACGGACTACCAGTGTGCACGGGGCAGCTTCGTGCCCCGGGGCTGGGGATTACGGCTCAGCTCTTTGCTAATGTGATGGATGAAAAGTGGCATCTCACTGCTGCTTGAATTTGCATGCCTTTGATGAGTGATGAGACTGAACTTTTGTCCTGTCACCCATCTGAATTTCAATAGGACTTCTTTCCTAACTTCAAGTGAGGGATGCTGCTGCCCGGAAGGGCGCCCAGGCCTCCAGGTCCAGCTGGGCCCCGCTTGTGAGCTCAGCCTCCCACGACGCTAGTGCTCCATGACCCTCCCCTGAGAACACAGCGGGACACAGAGTTCAAAGGGAGGGCAGAGGAATGGAGAAGTAGGAGCACCAGCGCCTGCGCCCACTCCTTCAATCAGCGCACCCTTCTGGCACTATAAACCAGTCTCCCTCCGCGCTAACACAGGCTGCTACTGTCACGATGGACTTTAAGGATTTTGCATTGATCTTTCTTACCATTTCAGTGAAAATGGGGAGATCAAAGAACACTTTTATAGAGCTAAGAACTTATAATTCAATAAGGGCTTTCTAATTAGAATGTAGCAACACTAAACTCATACGGAGTTTAATGTCAAGGATTTGACAGTCAGGGATTATGCCAGAGGTTTGCAAAACCAAAAGTGTGTCAGAATCCCCGGGAGGGGTTGTGAAAACCAGTGTGGGGTTCCCTCTGGAGTTTCTCATGCAGCGGGTTTGAGGTGGGGCCTGAGAACTTGAATTCCTCACATATTCCCAGGTGAGGCTGATTTTGCTGGTATAGGAACCCCACTTTGAAAAACACCACTGTAGCAAACATTGCTTCCATGTTCCCGCCTTGCATGAAATGAATGTTGCCTGACAGCTGGGACTCCTTCCCATAACCCCAGGTAGACCCACAGAAGCTAACTCCTTGGGCTGGGTCTCCAATGTTACCGGAGTCATGTAAAGTTCTGCACAAGTGGTTCTCAAACTGGACTGCACAGGGAACTCACCTGGGAGCCTTAAAGATACCAAAGAGGAATCACTTTTTCAAACAATGCCACACTCAGATTCTGATTCGCTCGGTCTGGAGTGTGGTCTGTGTCTTTTAGAATTTACTCCACGTGAGCCTAGTGTGCAGCCAAGATGGCAAAACTGTGCTTCTAACTCACGGTTCTCCAAGTGTGGCTGCTGGGCCAGTGGCATCACCTCGGGGAATGGATAGAAATGCAAATTCTTGGCCTCAGTCCACACCTACTGAATCAGAACCTCTTGGGTGGGGCCCACCAAACCCTGTTCTAACAAACTCCAGGTGGTTTTGAGGTGGGCTAACATTTAGAACCACTGTTTATAAAGGGTGTGTTCTGTCTAAGGAGGGTGCTGATTTGGAACTCACAGGATGGCTTAAATGTGTTGGCCAGCAGCCCACGCCACACCTGCCCCCTGGCACTACATTGGTGGCATGGCTCTGGGAGAAGGGTCTCCAGGCAGGGCCCCCCAGCAAAGGGCATTCCCCTCCCCCAAGGGTACAACTGTAGGTGCCTCTCGGGCATCTGCTATGCAGAAACCGCAGCTATAATACCTGCAAGTCCATCTCCGCCAGACTGATCAGCATCCGTGCTATAAACCTTTGCCAGAAGCCAACAGGAACGAAGCTCATCTTGAATACCCTTTGAATGGTGTTGGCTGCGGGGTGCCGCATGCCGTGGGTGTCCAGGCCAGGTTTAGATGGAAGGAGATGGGGCAGGAGGTAGCTGAAACACACCAAGGAGGACTAGTGAACAGTGGGGCCCAAGCTCCACTGCAGTGCCCCGACCCCAGCAGATGGCCTGGTCTGGGGACAGGCTGTGCTGAAACACCTCAGGCTGCTGGGTTCCTTCCTCCCAGGGCCTTTGGAATTCTGTTATTAGTAAGAGAAGGGTGGTTTATATGCTGAGAATAAATACTCCAAGGGAAAATGAAGACTGGTCACATTAATATGTCTACTATGGTTTCTAAGATAGAGACTAGAATAAGGCTAAGGGAAGACATGAAAACATCTGTGGTCCTAAAAATGTCAGACAGCAAATGGGACTCAATTCTCTATAAATGGGGTTGCAGTTGGGGAATCACTTAACATTAACTTTGGTTGATGAAGGAAAAACAAATACAGCTGCAAGGTTTCAAGGACAATGCAGATATTAGGGTCAGAGTAACATTTTTGGCCTTCAAAGCTATTTATTGCTCTTGGCCAGTTGACACGACGTAATTGTCTTAAAAGCTAGAATGAGCCTGATTTGTGCGAAAGAGGGATGTTTTATGAGAACATTCTTGGTCATCATAAAAATGCTGCATTATTGTGTCAGCAAGGCCTTCACGTCTGTCGTCATCTTAAAACAGCTGAAACCTGGGAGGTCCCTCCAAAAGTGTGCCAGAAAACCAGCAATAGCTGCATGCTGTGGGGCTGCGGGGGCAGGCACCAGACAGGCACAGGACGGCCCCCTGGGTGTGCAGATGCTGGACTCTTTCCCAGTAAAGGTTTTGCCTTCAGTTCTTCTAATCTTAAAATAAACCGATTTCGGTACAATAAATGTCCTTAGAACTTTCTGGAAGAGACTCCCTAAACTATAAGAAAATTCAATGACAGCCCATGGCCCAAGCATAGGGGCGCAAGTCTCAGCTCTGACATACACGCTCTGACACATGGGTATACAATGGGAGGAGAAAGGATCCCCTCTTGGCAGGGCTGGTGAAGGTAGACAGGGGCTGTGCAGATGACGCGGCAGACACAGGTGGTGAAGCAGGAGGCCTTTTCAGCCTTGCAGGTCTTGGGTGAAAGGACATTCCCAACCTCTCGCTAGATGCCTCTTCATCAGAGTGTCCTTCACATCTGAACATTCCTTGCTTCTCTATCTGCTCAGTGTTTGTTCCCCATACAGGAGGCCCCGGGCCATGCCTGCTGTTTCTTTCTGCTTTTTCTACTTCATCTCATGCATCCTGGGTCTCTCACACGGCCCTCTTACAGTGGCAGTGCCCCATGGCTTTCCTGCTGCTCTCCTTGTTGGAGTGTGCTTAGAGAGGGCGGGGAGCATTCTCTGTCCCCAGGCACCCCAGCATGACGTGCGGTGGCACACAGAAGAGGTGCTCCGTGATGTTTTTGGTATGAATCTTGGGAACACAAGGTTGGTTTAACATTTGAAAATCAGTCAACATATTCATGTAACAGAAAAATAACTGAAGAAAAAAATTAGCTCAACGGAGGCAGAACAAGCATTTTTGGGGGACAAAATTCAGGGTCCATTTATGATAAAAACTTTCAGCAAACTGGGAATAAAAGGGAACTTCCTCAATGTGATAAAGTTTCCACGGATAACAAAGTTCTGTAGAAAACACCACACTTGAAAGACTGAATGCTTTCCCCTGAGATCACACATAATGATGTCTTCTCTCATCCCTTCTATTTAAGCCTTCGCTAGAGATCCAAGCCAATGAAACCAGGCAAAAAGAGCAAAAAAACATGCAAAGATTAGAATGAAAAAAGTAAAACTGTCTTTTTTTTCAAAAAAGAAGCATACTTAGAAAATCCTGAAAAATCTACTGGAGCTAATAGGTGAATTTAGCAAGGTTTTTGGATATAAGGTAAATATTTAAAAATAAATTATATTTCTGTATACCAGCAACAACAACAACAAAAAAGGAAATCAAATTAGAAGATATGTCATTTACCCATCTCGGAGAACATAAATTATGTAGACACAAATTTAACAAAAGACGCAGAAAATCTGAATGCTGAAAACAAACAATTATTGAGAGAAACTTTTTAAAAACCAAAATAAATGAAGAGATATACCATGTTCATATTGGAAGATCCAATATTCCTAAGATGTCAGCTCTCTTTGATCTATAGATTCAATGTAATCTCCATAAAAATCACAACAGTTTTTTTTTTTGTGGTAGAAACAGACAAGCTGATTCTAAACTTAAATGAAAATGCAAAGGATCTAGAATAATCCAAAATAATCTTGAAACAGAAGAACAAAATTGGAGGGTGTCATGTGCTGAATAATGAGCCCCAAAATATCCAGGTTCTAAACCCTAGAACTGTGATTGTTACCTTACATGGAAATAGAGACTTTGTCGATGTGATTAAGTTATGGACTTTGAAATGGGGGAGAGATCCCAGATTATCTGGGTGGGCCTTAAGTGCAGCCACAAGTGTCCTTAAAGGATAGGGGGAAGAAAGAGATTTGCACAGAAGAAGGCAAGATGGTCACTGGAGCAGGGTGCCATGCTGCTGGGAGGGACGGCTTCAAGATGGCTGACTAGAGGCATTTCAGACTTGCCTCCGACACTGAGAAGAGGCAAAATAGTGAGTAGATAATCGCACGTTGAATAGATCATCCAAGAGGGAACACTGGAATTTGACAGAAAAGTGACAGGAAATACCTAAGGCAAAGAAGGAGAAGGAAGCAAGGCAGCCTGCTAGGCTGAGAGCTGAGAGAGATTCCCCAATGTGGGGAAAAGGTAAGTGAGAGATCCCCAGTGGTCCACATTCCTACTCTGGACTCCTAAAATCCAAGGCACAGGAGAGCCCCTCGCCCTTTGTGGGCCCTGAAGCTAACTGATGGGAGATTGTGCAATGGCACTGCTCTGAGGGTGCTCGCTCTAAGTCTCACACTCTCTGAGACCTGAGCAGCCACACTAAGGAGGCATTTTATTTACATTTTAATTTTTAATTTCAATAGGGCTTTGGGGAACAGGTGGTGTTTAGTTACATGATAAAGTTCTTTAGCGGTGATTTCTTAGATTTTGGGGCTCCCATCACCCGAGCAGTGTACACTGTACCCAATGTATAGTTTTTTTATCTCTCATCCCCTCCCACCCTTTCCCCCAAGTCCCCGAAGTCTATTGTATTATTCTTATGCCTTTGCATCCTCATAGCTTAATTCCCACTTATAACTTAGAACATACAATGTTTAGTTTTCCATTCCTGAGTTACTTCACTTAGAATAATGGTCTCTAATTCATCCAGGTTGCTGTAATTGCCATTATTTTATTCCTTTATATGGCTGAGTAGTATTCTATGGTATATATATACCACAATTTTTTTGATCCAATTGTTGATTGATGCACATTTGGGCTGGTTCCATATTTTTGCAATTATGAATTGTGCTGTTATAAACATATGTGTGCAAGTATCTTTTTGCATAATGACTTCTTTTCCTCTGGGTAGATAGCCAGTAGTGAGATTCCTGGATCAAATGGTAATCTACTTTTAGTTCTTTAAGAAATCTATAAGGAGCCTTTTTTTGTTGTTGTTGTTGTTATTGTTTATTTTATTTTATTTTATTTTGAGATGGAGTCTCGCTCTGTCACCCAGGCTGGAGTGTAGTGGCATGATCTCGGCTCACTGCAAACTCCACCTCCCGGGTTCACGCCATTCTCCTGCCTCAGCCTCCTGAGTAGCTGGGACTATAGGTGCCCACCACCACGCCCGGCTAATTTTTTGCATTTTTAGTAGAGATGGGGTTTCACTGTGTTAGCTAGGATGGTCTCAATCTCCTGACCTTGTGATCTGCCTGCCTCAGCCTACCAAAATGCTGGGATTACAGGCATGAGCCACCGCACCTGGACTACAAGGAGCCATTTTACAGCCCTGTCCCCAACTGACTGTGTACTGTCCTGGAGCCCAGAGGTGCTGGGGCTGAGGTGCAAGGGAAATGTGGGCTGCTACCCCTGGGGCTGAGGTGTGAGTGAAGCATAGGCTACCACCTTAAGGCCAAAGTGTGGTGACATGTATTCCCCACCCACCGGCCTAATCTGTTGCCACTGAAGGTGGCCCACCCTCCCCAGTGGCAGGGCAGCAGTGTGGCCACTGATGTCCCCAGCCTGAGCATTCCATTGCTGGTCTGGGGATCACTCCACTCCTGCCTACCATGGCTGGTACCTGTACACACCATTGAGGGGCCTGAAAACAAGCCCACCTGGCCTGGCTTCATGTCCCCTGGCCCCTGTGCCAGAGCTCATGGACTAGGGCTGAGGGACTGCCCAACTCAGTCCACCATCAGTGGTACCTGAACACTTCTCCTGAGGGCCAAAGGTTGGGCCTACCAACTCTGCTCTTACCACTACAGCTGGTACCTACTTGCACGTGTCACCCATGGCCCTATGCACAAGCCCAACCAGCCCATTGCAGCCACTGCCCATACAAGTGTGCACTGCTTGGGACCTACAGGGTTTTCCAGCCACTCCCACTGCCATTACCCACATCATGCCAGCTGCCTAGGGACCCAAGAATCCACCCACCTACTGGCTCACTGATACCACTACCAACATCCAAGTAAGCCTCCTGGAAGCCCAAGAATAGGCCTGCCTGGACCCTCTAACACTGGTGCCAGTGTGTACCACCCTGGGGTCCAAAGACAGGCATGCCTGCTGCCACCACTGGGGCCCAAAGACTGACCCAACTGCATCCCTGTCCCCAGCAAAACTTCCCCACAAGCTCCACTAACAATGGCACCGTAAATCACTGAGGAAATCACAGATACCACTGACATTGTTTATAGCCAAAGAAATCATACAGATTACACTACTGCATCTATGTAGAATGAAAGTCAAAGTGCCCTACTGAACCAACACCATAGATGCATCTTCGGGAGAAAGTTCTCCCCTATGAAAGCAAATTCAAATACTGGAAGAAGTAACTCTTACACCAGATGCACAGTCATCAATGTAAGGACACAGGAAACATGAAAAAGCAAGGACATACAACACT